GAAGCTACGACAGATTGAAATCTTGATTTCATTAATCATCTAATAATGAGACGTTTTTCTTTTCTCTTTCTCTGAAACATTCAAACACAAACACTATAATGTCGAGATTTATTACAATAGTTTATCATTTAACGGAACAATTGTTAATGCGTGAGTACAGGTTATTTCGAAGGACATTCATTGCAATGCTTTGTATTTCATCACTGTATGCAAGGTCGCCATTGAACAGTCCGCTGAGTAAAAGAATGATTTAAGCAAACGTAATTCATTATAATCGTACAATGTCCCTAATAACCAAACGCTTATCCAAAGAAAATATTTGTTTTACTTAACATTTTCCTTATAAATATTTGCAAAGTGACTACTTATGAAATACTGTAGTAGATGTTGACAACTATGTAATTCATCAAAGCTGTCACGAAGATTAGTATCACCATTATTCCTATCCATGAACAAATCTAATTGCAATATACAAAATGAAAAACATGTACGATTAGTTTCTGATCGACTTTTGTGATATTATTGACTGAATATCTTGATATATTCTAGCCTCTATTTTTCTCTCTATCTAGGGCACTTTAAAAAAGGTTGCCCAATTCATTTGGTTATCATGCCATAATACAGCTACCCTGGATGAAAGTTGTTTGTATGTCACTTGTCCTTGTGTTTGAGTATTCAAGTGAACACTCGTGTCCTTGTTTTTACATTATTCCATGCAGTGAGACGATTAAACTAGTTTAGGAGGCTCTTCACGAAATCACGTCGCATAAGTCATTTGCGCGTAGCTATAGTTTTGCAATTAGGCACATCACCCCTGGGCGTGGTATTGTCGCCATGCCAACTCAACGAATATTGTCATCGTACAAGAAAGTATTGTCCAAACAGCGCAATAATTTAAGAAATAATAAGTGTTGTACATACGATATATTCAATCGATATTAAATCATCCAATATTTCTGATTGTCACTTTTTTCCCAGATTTTTTCGTATCTTCACACTGTATAAATGTTTGTACAAGAATGCCCAGACCTGTGACATTTGAAATTCAGCGAAGCGGAGGTTAAATAGCATTACCATTGTTAGAAAACACGCCAGACTCGGTGATCGGTAATCCTTAATGCCTCACTTGAGGAGTTAACAGGCCATGTACAAGCAGTTTCCCTATGTGTATTCAATATTCAACTATATAGAATGCCTCGTTATCCGGCTCATCGGTTTTCATTTTTAGACGTGTTTTCGTGGGGTCGACCCGTCCTTGACCCAAGCAGACGATGCACTGACATGCAAATGAAATATGTAATCGTATTCATAATACTTATCCGATCAATAAAATGATAAGTGCGGCCTACATTTACGCGTGATTTTCAGCTACATTAGACGTTGCTTTCAGCTACAACTCATGTACCCGGGCGCATTGCGTTATCTTAAATTAAAGCATCGCAATGCGAGTAGCATCATTGTTGTTGTGAACATGTGAATCGACTACAGTTTCAGTCACGTAACCTTTTGGAAAGACAATCGATATATTCAATCATTGAGTTCGAGATCGTAACATGTTTTGTAATCATGCGTTCCGTTATAGTAAATATTACAAGTATACATTGATGGCATAAGCATAACATAAACTGTGGCTAATATTACCCAGGCTTAGAACACCCCAATAATTATATGGACAAATATTTCTTGTGTGTATTTCGACTATTATATTATTCGAATATATAATTCCAAATAGTTGCTCACCGAAGAATCTCTCCCTCCCCATGCGGGATTACCAGTAGTGACATCGTACTCGTATTTGCATCCAAAGAGTTGTCGTTGAATATATAAGGACACTTTTGAAGCCCACCACACATTGCTACGATGAATCTCGCCGACAATCTACATTAAACACTGTGACTTTCTGTTTTTGACATTGTGATTTTTGTTAGTGGGGGGGGGAAATACATTTATAATATTTTATAATGAAATGTATACAACATGCACACCAATATTAATTTTCATATATACCAATAACACGTGTATATTGAAGACGCACATAATTTGTTATATTCTCGATATTTTGCGCATTTCGTTTGTCTTGACTTTTTACTCAAAATCAGCTGAATACAATTTAAAAAAATATGAAGCGTGTTCAGCAACTCGTGTGAAAACAATGACATTATTAAATATAACTTTACTCGGTAAAAATAATGTACTTTTCTCCAAAAAGAAAACCAAGACATTTGATCGTAGTGTTATACATTTTCCGTTGTGGTCAGCCTTTACGGGTGTATAAATATGACCATCAGTAATTTGCATTAGATTGTTATTTCCACCAGTGCACATCGCGAAGCATGACGTTTTGTTCGAGATCACTCATTTGAAATGCTTTTCTTTGATTTCTTGATTGGTGTGCTACTTGTGGCACAAGTATATATAAAGGTTCTGCTACAATAACTGTGATGCAAAAATATAGTAGTATAATGAAATTATCATATACTTGATAACGAAAATAAATACATTGACATTTTGCTAGACTTGTTTGTGGTAAAGGCAAATGTAGACGTACTGTTAAGGCGAAATTAAAGACAGAGTTGCTTTGCCAGACTTACTCTTGTTTTTTAATATTATATTGTTGTGTTTAATTGTAGTTTTTTTTGACCGTTCAATTGCTAACTCTCGCACGTGTTAGTGATTAAATAAACATATATCTACAATAAGAGAATGCAAACATTTATGAATTAGTCGATGTCTTTCTTATTTGTCTAGAAATCCACTGTCTTGATTAATATGTCATCTGCCTAAACCTTGTCAATTAAATTGCTGAAAGGGTCACGATCAATTGAACGCAGCTGGTGAATACCTCACACATATCGTTGAATCCACGACACAAAAACATATGTAATCATATTTATTACTTTGATCTGAACCAGTTTGACGTTATCCTAAATCATAGTTATAAAGTCACACACGGACTGTAGGAAATGAACGAGCTGATATGAGTTGAAATAGATCCGGGCGTGTACAACCAAATATGTATGTGCGGTGGTCGTGAAAGATACAGTCGTATTGTACATTTCGTCAACGCCTATTTTTTTTATTCCGATTACATTTCATAAAATTAGTTTAATCTAAGAATGTTGCTAACACCATCTTACCGACTACTATAGGTAGAAAACAGAGAAAAAACATAACATATAAATGTTGTGACCCTAAAACACAATTATTGATAGTAATAACAAGCGTACACTCGTACAATTGCCAGTAACATGAAAATAACACAAGGTGCACTCACATGTGCTTTTCAATTAATAGCACTTTCTACGATGATCAATATTTACATTCGTAACCCGCGGCAACTGGACAAGTTATCGAATTTCAAATCTGTATGACGCTGTGTTGACGCGATCGTATAAAAACGTCGAATAGTTTAAACTATCACGGAAGACGGAGTTGCTATTTCAAGAGTCGACAAAGTTTTTATAATAGCCATTAACCAATCGCACTTACGATAATACAATAAACAAATAAATGGCCAAATAAGTTAATTACCAATGCAGTTAATTAAGTTCATTGAACTGTATAGTATAAAAGGTACCAGCCTGCAGACTATGGATCATGTCGATAACCATGAAAAAAGACATGTTTGCTGAACAATCTCAGATTACCATACACTCATATTTCTACGTATAAATCACAATGAATAATTGTTACGCACTATATATATTTGTCGTTGCCTACATTCGAAGTTCTGTGAAAACTATTGTTCAGCTTGTTTTTTTATTAATACTCAGTAAAATAACCCAGTACATTTTCCCTTCTTTTGCGAAGTTCCAATTAATAAAAATAAGGAGACCTTTCTATTGTATTCATCACTTTATTAAACCAAGACTGAATTGATGTCTTTCTTTTTTCTGCTTGTTACCTGGTAACACGCGTATGCTACACATGTGTTAGTATTCATGTCAATCCCTGTAACTCCGCGAAGCAATCACTGATAAGTTGCGTAAGAGTCAAAGGTCTTCCTTTGGTGGAGATTAACATGTTGATACACTAGACCCACTCAGGTATAATGACGCCACGTTAACAAATGTGAGCATGCGCGTAACAGATACAAACATATGTCCTCATATATACGAAGACTTTTTTAAAACCAAAGCAAATAAAAACAAACTACCATTCCATTACCATTTTTTGGTGTATAATTCAATCACAAACATATTTTTTTTGGAAACCTAAAAAGCCAAATCCAACGCCGCAATGGATAATGTTGGTGGGCAATGCTATGTATATGTCTTACTTTAGTTAGATTTTATAGTTTAGTGACTTTTTTACACTTTTTTTTTCATATCTTGTTTTCAGATTGATCAAGGCGGTCTTGGTTTAATGGACAAGAGTTATTACCTTGGAAACCATACCACGGTGGGTATACATATTATATTGTGTATAGATAAAGCATACTTAGGTTATTACTTCGCCCACTATTTCGTCTCGTCGGCATGCTGGGTTTAGATATGTGCATTGTAAAATGCATGATTTCCATTAGCATTCAAACGCCGGGGAATACATCCCAAAGTACTAGATAAATCAATCGAGTTCATATGGGTGTTGGCGAAAATAAAATAAACTAGTTATTATACGCGTGTTAACTTATTGACACCGAAGTGCATATGGATTTGTAAACAAGATGGAATGAAGT